AATTACGAACAAAGATATTCAAAAGCAGAGAGATTTTATGAGAATGTCACACAAAACAGTTTACTTGGAACTGTTAAACAGTGTTCAGGTATGATTTAAGGTTGGTTATGGATGAGGCGTCTAATTTAAAATAATTTAACATAACGTGCGAATGCATTAAAGGAGCGTCTTCAGTTATTATTTAAACGCAGCTATGTCAGGATTGGGATAGGTTATATAATTTCATTATTTAAATTATGATTGTTGATATTAATATTTTATGACATGTATTTGGGCTATTGCGCTTAAATAAGTCATCCGTGATTCTAAATTAATATTTCTATTTATCCTTTTTATCACTCTGCCTGTCTTTCTCTTCTTTTTTTTCTAATTATTGGGGTTCTGCCACGGTTAAACGTTTGCAAAATGTCTTAGTTTGTCCAGAATATTGTTTTATTGTTATGTAGCCTATAGGCGAGAAAAATGTATTAACGCAAATGTGGCAATGTCGCAGCCAATTATAAGGAATAAAATGAGTCGCCTGTGGTTTGATAATAGGCAGTTATAACTGACTTTAATTTGTTTTTAGTATTAAATGAGAAAACCATAATTTATAACTTTTCAGCAACCGTTTGTATTTTATGATTAGCAATGTTGATCTTTTTTGCAGTTATTAAACATATAAACTTATTTAAACTGGTTTAAATTTAATATAGTTGTCACTTCAGCTAGTTTCATAAGATTAATGTTTAGAATGCGTGGTTTGACATGCGTGGTTGAGTGGTTTCTGCAAATCATGGGATTATTACTGAGCTTTAATCGCCATCTACTGGAGAGAATGTATTTGCTCATTTATTCTATTAACTCTTTTCTGCAAGTGTGTTTTATGATTTCACAAAGTCAAACCATTATTTTTTTATTTTATATTTTGAGATGATCATATTTAAATAAACAATTGCTAGGGTAGCTAATAGTTTCTTTTTTCTTGTTTAAAAAAAAAAAATCATTAGCCTATAAAATCATAATTTTGGCTTGACAAAGTTATTGGTTTAGGATTCTGGATGCATTTTTGCTAAATGAGTGTTGGATACTCTCATACTAGTTAAATCAATTATATTATCAGAAATGACAGATATAAGAAATCCATTAATATTCATCACTCTTTTTACAATTATACAAGCAATTCCGTGCCGACGTCAGCTCCACTTTCGGAAATGGTAAACTGCGAGGTGTTATTCCCAAGCATGACATGTCATGATAATAATTGAAACACTCTTGTAGGCTATTCTTATGCTTGGTCAAATGTCATGACTTTCACTTTTATTTTACATTATTATGCACAAGCCCAGATATCATCTGAAACTTCGGAAGAATTCCTATCATATTGCCAGCCATCCAGCATCTCTTAACCAGTTTGATATGCGGCGCTGGCTCTGACCGCCCACCGGAGCTCGCGGCCACTCGTTCGTCTTTGTCGTGAGCAAGCCGCACCGCACATGCATAAAAACGTCAATCATTTAATTCATTCATCAATTCATTCATTTTCCTTCTGCTTCGTCTCTATTTTAGTGGAAAAGCAATATTCTGGACAAACTAAAGACATTTTGAAAAAATAGGAAAAAAGAAGAGAAAGACGATATCAAAGTGATAGCTACAAAGGATAAATAGAAATATTAATTTAGAATCACGGATGACTTATTTAAGCGCAATAGCCCAAATACATGTCATAAAATATTAATATCAACAATCATAATTTAAATAATGAAATTATATAGCCTATCCCAATCCTGACATAGCTGCGTTTAAATAATAAATGAAGACGCTCCTTTAATGCATTCGCACGTTATGTTAAATTAAATTAGACGCCTCATCCATAACCAACCTTAAATCATACCTGAACACTGTTTAACAGTTCCAAGTAAACTGTTTTGTGTGACATTCTCATAAAATCTCTCTGCTTTTGAATATCTTTGTTCGTAATTGTTCTTTGCCCTGTCAATGTTTATCTATTTTGTATTATTATAATATTTCCTTTCCTGTTTCTCTTACGTTTATATTCTTTAGCTGTCAATATAATACTTTGCGTCTATGGAAGAAAGAGTCAATAAAGATAGACAATGTGTAACATCATATTCATCAAAAGGCGGTTTATGTCCAAGTAACTGCACCGGTCCGAGCAGGGAGCGAGCCGGCATAAGCTCCGATAAGATTGCAGAACAACTTCTGTCACTGGATCCGAGAACTGAGATTTACGCGATCACCAGCTGGCTTCCGTTACATAAGGGCAAATATAGATGACTAAAACCTCATTTACTCATTTTACTCAAACTTTTTATCATTTATAATGTCCAAGGCATTGATATTAATATTAAATGCTACTTTTGTGCCTTTAATAGCCTTTTTCTCGCCTGTTTACTGGGTTAAAAATCTTACATTTCATCTCCACCTGCTGGTGAAAGCTAGAGCAGCTGGCGATCTTCAATCTGCAATCTATTGCTTTTCCTGCAGTTCCCGGATGTAATGTTGAATTTTAACAGTCGAATTTGATCCACTGAATTTATGGAAGCGAATATTTGAACTGAAATAAAATGAACTGAAAATTACCTTTTGAATATTATACATCGTATTTTTAAAGGGTATTGAATATTTTGTAAGTGAAATCTGAAAATTGAATATGAATTATTGAATTTTTAAGTATGAAAACGTGTTTGAAATATTTTTCGTTGAAATATTCAAAGCTTAAATATACAGATATGTTAAATTTCAGGACCTAAAAATACAAACCCTGGAATTCAAGTCATTAAAATGCAAGAACTTGTTAATACGGTGTATTATTTTTTTCAGTTTGTGATATTCAACAAGCTTTTTAATTCAAGACTTTAGGCATTGATTTTGTTCCATAGTTCGCACCTTTGTGCGTGTTGATTGTTTGAGTGAAAGTGTGACTAATAAATACTGCATAATGGATCCCTCCGTGTCAGTCTCCCCGTTACACCTACGATGTGTGAGTTCACAACCGAATTACATTATGGGCAAGTGATCTGATAGCGACTGCAGTAGGATTTAGGAAAATCTAGCCAGATAGCACGCTCTTGTGATCTTTATCTGAATGCCTTTCACTCACCACCAAGTGTAAATAGCATGTAAAACCTAGTCTAAACTTAGCCAACTACAGGACTGTAAAAGAAAGTTTTAGACATGCCTATAGGTTTTACTCTCTCTCTCTCTCCCTCGTTTCTCATCCTTGTCTTTCTTTCAGTTTTAGTTTTATTCATATTTACTGATATCCATATTAGTATTTTCTTTCATTTTTCTTTCCCTGTACACTCGTTCATCCAAACGAGGTGCCTTTTTGTCTAACTTATCATTAATATTATTTATTTATTTTTGTTTTTGGGTTACTGTTATTACATGACTAAAAGCCTTGAGGCCAGTACGTAGATATCAACTGTTATCTAGCCACCCAAATTCGACATCCGAATTGTCCGGCCCCCAGTGGATCCTTAGAAGGACCAACGTCTAGCCGGCACATACCCCCTAGCTTACAACCCTGTCAGACTAATAATATAGCACAATGCTAACATCCACTCTGTGGTGGGGAAGGCGTGATCGAACACCCAGAAAGGGGGGAGAGCAGGCGGAGACACCGGCGGCTGGTCAGTGGTCTAATCATAAATAATTATTAACACCTGTGTTTTCTAGTGATTGGGCCGGAGAGACACCTTCATAAGGGGAGGAGAAGGAGAAGCAGAGAGAGAGGAGAGCCTGTCGACTTGCAGACTCGACACGCACATACACACACACAGAATTATAAATAAAAATTGTGCTTACCTGATATCGCCGACCCTGCCTTCTTCTTCCCACGAAACGAACATTATTACAGTGATGCCGAAACCCGGGAAGAAGAGGAGACTTCGCTGCCAAGATGACCACTCTGTCACCTACTCCATTCGCGGAAGTGATCCAGGCGCTCGCGGTCCTCCATTGCGAACAACATGAGGCGCTGGTGGAGATCCGGGCGGACCAGGACCAGCGGTTCCGTGCTTTGGTAGAGTCCCAGCGCGAGGACCGCGAGCTCGTCCGGAGACTGCTGGACCAGGGGATCCGGCCCGCGTCGACATCTGCCCCCCACCCTCCCATCTCCCTTCAGAAAATGGGGCCTCAGGACGACCCGGAGGTATTTCTGGACCTTTTTGAGAAAATGGCGGAGGCGTGTGGCTGGCCGCAGGCCGAGTGGCTGGTGAGAGTCATCCCGCTGCTGTCAGGCGAAGCCCAGATCGCGGCGCAGCAGCTACCGGCCCAGAATCTCCTGGACTATGCTCACCTGAAGCGAGCCATTCTCCAACGGCCCTTCGTGTTCGCCCAGCAGGGGTACTTGAATGCCAGGTCGGTAGAGGTGGCTGGGGTTTATCCACTACGGCATCGCAGATGGTCTGTCAGTTGTACAGTCTAGGTATTTGCCCTCTGGCGCAAGGAGTGTTTTACTTGCATATGCCCAGACGTTGTCTCACTTCAGTCGTGGCCAGCTGTTGACCTTCCGTCAAACAGAAGGACAGCCCTTTTTGACAGGGTGGTCACGGGTCGAGAAGTCTTTGAACAGTTCTTAATGACGTGTCTGGAGTAGTTGCACCCACTTAGGGAGCCGCTCAGTTCGGAGACCTTGCTAGGCGGTAGTCTTTGGGCAAGCCACAGTCAACTGTTGTAGGACATGGTCTATCTCCTTTGAGTGGCCAGACATGGTGGAACTTTCATTAAGGATATCATCAACGTAAATAATATGAGGATGTGAAAAATCATGTTGATGTACTTTTAATCCCCCCATGTTTGGTACCGATGGGTTTCTGCTGACATTTTACAACACATGATGCATAGAGCAAGACCATAACTCGCATTGCTTTATTCTTTAATCCCCTGTATTAAATGCCTGTCCGCATGCTTTGGGCAGACACTCAAATTTGCATACGAGCAGGCTCGAGACAAAGGAAGGATTTGCGCTCAATTTCCCCTGAAATCATTGGTTAGAATGCTGAACGGGTTGTCATGTGTCCCACTGTTATAACCAGACTTCTCCCAAACATCCCGCAGAGAACGTCCTAACAAAGAACCCATACGCCGCATGGACTTTTTCATACCACGCTTTCTTTATTTTCCGGCAAAGTAAACTCAGTTTTAAGTTTGCGATCACGTTCCTCAGAACTTTATTACAAACTCAACGCATCAAGAAGGACATCAAAGGAGTTTCATCAGGACGGAAGCATAAAAAGAGAGACCCCAGACATTAAAGTCCAGGTATTTTTTTTAGTTATGCGATTAAGCTGTGCCCCTTTTATCAAAAAATGTGTTTTTTATAATCTTGGTGATTCTTAATGGTGCGTGTGGAACTGAAAGTTTTTTCACTCTTTTATCTGAAATCTCTATTTCCTAGCTTTACTATTTCTCTTTGTTGTTACACGTTCTATAGACCCGATATCTCCACGTTGTTTATCTTTGTTTTGTGTTTAATGTATGTTTAATGTTTGTGCGTTTGTTCGTTATCCGTCTGACTAGTCAATAAATCCTATTATAATCAAATGAATTGTATTGTTTGCCTCACGAGAAAATGTCACTGAAATACAGATTCCCCTGCCTAGCTATTATAAGTTGTTTAAAACTTTTGAATGATTAATCTACTTCGCAAGAAGTAGCAATTAAATTCCCTTTTTTCTAAATGAATAGATCATTACCGTGTCCACTCGGAAGAGCGGCGGCTCTGCTTGCATTTGTTTGGTCAAACTGACAATAAATTGATCCAGAATTTTAATGATTAATAATAATTCGTTATTGTTGATAATTAATATTCATAATCTGAGAGTACGCTCGGTCGAGCGGGCAAGATTATATACAATCATGTGTTTGTTTGATCAAGTTGACAGAAGCTTAAGCTGGAATATTAATAATTAAGAATAAACCGTTATTGTTGATTATTAATATTCATAAAATGAGCTAATTTCTGTTACATACCGATACACATTCAAATAATGAAATACAAAACAATAAACAAAATTACAAGCTGACCAATCAGCGTCAGCTAAAGTGTGTGCTTGTCTCTGTGTTTGTGTGGGAGTGCCATGTCATGTCATCAGCTGGGCGGTCACATGATCGCTGTCACAGGCTCATGCCATTGCTTACCACCTTTTGGCTGATAACCAGCGCACCACAGGAGCAGCGCATTTACTGCGCCTATATATGTTCAGCATTCCTGTCTCACTTTGTCAATTTGTTGTCCTCATGGTTGTCTGTGTCCTGTCAGGCTCTCATCCTTGATCTTCTCTGTTGACGGCTGCCCGTATTCAGAGACCATCTCATGTACTTATTGTGATCCACTGACTCCTTGCCACTCACCTGTCATCCACCTTTCAGATACCAGCTTTTGTGTTCATTAATAAAACTGTTACTTGCAATGGGTCTCCTCGTTTCTATTATGACACTCACACCTGTTCTAGTTTTCCACTGATTGCTAACACACACAGCTGAAGCTGTTCAGAAGTGATTACATGGACTTTAAAAGCAGCACAGACACACACACCAGTTGCTAAGTCTTGTTAGACTGTTTATGAACATTACGATGCAGTTTTTTCTTGCCTTGCTTTTCTGTGACCCACTTGACCCTTGCCTTGTTTGTTTGTTTACATTGCCTGCTACCTGCCCATGATACTGACTATTCGCCTGTGTACTGACCATGACTCTGGATTGCCTGTATACATCTGTTTGTTCTTGTAATCACAGTTGCTTGCCTGACCATTCTTAATAAGCCTGCATTTGGTTCCGCACTCTTTTTTCAGTGTCTACTTCACATTACACAGGTTTATGCTCAGGACACAGTGCACCGTGTAAACTAGAGCTGCACGATACATCGTTTCAGCATCGAAATCGCGATGTGCGCATCCACGATAGTGTAACATATTGTAACCTGCATTCTGGAGATAAACATTCCATTTAACATTCCAGAAAACAATCTGGGTGAATCGCCAGGACAATAAAATCACTTGGCGACGAAAAGTCTGGCTTAGTAATCCGTGTTGACATGTTAACAAGTCTGGGAGACTTCACAGAACCACTCTCTGCCTACTTCAAAAGAACATGACAGATAAGATAAGAAAGAAAAAAAAAAACCTCTTTAGCCAACGTTCTGCTCACAGACAAGACATTCCTCAAAATTAAAGAGACATTTAGAACCCAAATCTCTTGTTAAATTTCATTTAACTTTTGTAATGTGTACAATCCCTGATATAGACTATACACATTCGTACTTTTATGCCTGTTTGAAGCATAAATATTATGAGGATGTGAAAAAGTATGTCGAGGTATTTTTACACCTCCCCATGTTTGGTACCGATGGGTTTCTGCTGACATTTTACAGCACATGATGCATAGAGCAAGAGCATAACTAGCTTTGCTTTATTCTTTAATCCCCTGTATTAAATGCCTGTCCGCATGCTTTGGGCGGACACTCAAATTTGCATACGAGGAGCCTTGAGACAAAGAGGGTTCGCGCCAAGTGTGCCGCAAGCCTACGTTTGAGTGAAGGTTTCGGCCATTAGATTGCCCCCTGGGGGCTGGCTGCAGTACAAGTCATAAAGCCCGCCTCCTCCGTGTTAATGAAGGAGACTTGAGCCCAAATAAAAAAAAATATTACACTTGCAATAAAATGTCCCGAAAGATAGTTCTGGTCAATTAAGGCACTGGTTATTGTGCTGAAATAGGTGCAGATCTTCATTTTTGTAAACAGTTTGTTTTTAGCAGTAATTTAATGCTGGGCGTGTCATCGTGATTGACAGCTGTGATTGACAGTTTCTCAAAGCGCGGCGTCTGAGCTTCGGCAGGAGACTGAAGTAGACTGAAATGTTATTATTCGATTTCTGTGTTATTTTACCATGACAAAATGAGTTCAGCAGTAAACTATAGTTTCTGACATACATGATCCTGGTGGAACACTGTTTATTCGCTAAGTTCAGGGCTTTTTTCGGGCTTTATTAGTTTGCTGATACACGCCTAGCCACCCAGATAGCAAAACACAGTTCCGGCTAGATTCTCGCCTGCCGGAGACTTATCTCTTAGAGCTCAGACTGACTAATGTTACCTCTGCTGGACCTACTCCGGATGACTGGACTCACTGCCCGATTCCAGTCCGAGTCAATCGAGCCAGATGCGGCAGCCGAGCGAGCAGGCGCTACCGCATGCGAGCCGGAATCAGCCCGCGACGCCGCGAGTAAGTTATGCGCTGCGGCCTGGAGCTGGCGCGATTGAATATATAAAACCCTCATATTTGTTAACGTTATTACATCCATTTGTGTTGATATGACAGCAAACGCATGCTGAGAAGTTCGGGGGGCGTAGTTGATTTTACATAAAGCGTTTGATTGGAAGCTCGACTCTGCTCATTTTCGCGGCTCCTCCTCTGGCTCCATCAGACAATCCTTCTGCGCATGTCTGGCTCCAATTTCAGCAGTCTTTTGCGACAGTTTGTGCCCGTCAAGCAGGCGTTTTGCCCTCAAGGCGTTCAATGGGAAAAAGGGCTGTCGCGTCGTCCATATTTTTTACAGTCATTGGTTCGCGCGCAAACTTTCCCCTGAAATCATTGGTCAGAATGCTGTACGGGTTGTCACGTGACCCGCAGGTATAAGCACACTTCCCCCCAAACATCTGGCCAGAAAGAGAACGTCCCAAAAAGGAACATCATTGACGGTGGTCCCTTTAAGGGCCACACGGCTCTTCATAGCCGCATGGACTTTTTCCCGCCACGCTTTCTTTATTTTCCGGCAAAGTAAATTCAGTTTAAAGTTTGCGATCGTGTTCGTCCGAACTGCATTACAAACTCCACGCATCAAAGGACATCAAGAGTAGTTTTCATCACGACGGAAGAGAGACGCATAAAAGAGACCTCCAGACATGAAAAACCAGGTGATTTTAGTTATGCGATTAAGCTGTGCCCCTTTTATCAAAAAGGTGTTTTTTTTTAACCTTGGTGGTCCTTAATGGTGCGTGTGGAACTGAAAGTTTTGTCACTTTTTTTACCTGAAATCTATAAGTCCTAGCTTTACTATGTCTCTTTGCTGTTACACGTTCTATAGACCCGATATCTCCACGTGGTTTACCTTTGTTTTGTGTTTAATGTATGTTTGTGCGTTTGTTTGTTCGTTACGTCTGACTAGTCAATAAATCCTATTATAATCAAATGAATTGTATTGTTTGCCTCACGAGAAAATGTCACTGAAATACAGATTCCCCTGCCTTGCTATTATAAGTTGTTTAAAACTTTTGAATGATTAATCTACTTCACAAGAAGTAGCAATTAAATTCCCTTGTTCTAAATGAATAGATTACCGTGTCCGCTCGGAAGAGCAGCGGCTCTGCTTGTGTTTGTTTGGTCAAATTAACAATAAATTGATCCGGAATATTAATGATTAACAATAATTCGTTATTGTTGATAATTAATATTCATAATCTGGGAATCCGCTCGGTCGCGCGAGCATGATCATTTACAATCATATGTTGGTTTGACCAAGCTGACTGAAGCTTAAGCCGGAATATTAATAATTAAGAATAAACCGTTATTGTTGATTATTAATATTCATAAAATGAGCTAATTTCATGTTACAATAGTCACATCGCAGGAGGGTGCGATGCAAAAAAAAAAAATTATATACATAGGCTATATGTATTATGGGTGGAGCAGAACCCGAATACGGTATTCGGATAAGCACGAATAGCGTGTTTTTACCAATACTTATTTCGAACAAATACTTGAAAAATGATTTGTATTCGGGGAACAAGAAAAACATTATGTCAAAAAGCTGCCTTTCCTCATGAGACCGCAGTGCATGTCCACATAAGTGAGTGAGTGAGTGAGACATTCAGGAGTCGGAGGCGGAGTGGGGCCGGGGAAAAAAGGTGACTGAAGCGTGCTGCTGTTCCACAACAGCAACAGAGAAGGCTTGGCAGAGCGAAAAATACTGCATTAATATTTTTGTTAAATTTTTTTTTTTCATTATACTAAAATAACACATGACAGAAGTTCACTCAAAAGTGAAAGTTCTTTCTGTCATTAATTACTAACACTCCCGTCATTACTACTTTCAGAACATAAATTTTGATATTTTACCATATGAAAATGCAATGCAGTTATGAAAATTGTGAAATTAAAGCAATAGTGCAGAGATCTGGTCCCCGCGTCAGGTCAGGGTGCACCTGTAAACTTAAAAACGCAGACGCGGAGGCGCACTAAATTCACACGGGAAAGAACTGGGCATTCAATTCATGTTTTAGTTTAATAATACTTTAAATACAGCTCTCTTGATCCTCTAAAGGGGAAAAAATGCAAAAGAAATTTGTCGTTAAATTAATTTTAGCAGAGACGCAACTGCCTGTCATTTTCACATTCGTTTTTTAGTTAGGAATTAGGTCTATTAACCTAATAACAATGTTTTGTTGGACACTGTAGTCTACACAATAATCAATATTATAATTTATTATATACATTATTATTAAAACTAAACTATACAATTGATAAAACAAAACCCTTTTTATTGTTTAATTGCTTTTATTTTGACACCACTAACAGTTGTAATAAGAAACATCACAATATGCAGAAGTTAAAAACACCTTTTGAGTTTAAAGATGATCAGCCTGCCAAGTCAAGTTTACAGTGTCATAAATGAAATTGGTAGCATGATTAAAGGGGATTTGCCCAGCACACAACTTCTCGCTGCAGGTAAGCTGAATGATAATCTTAAAAAATATATATGCAATACAAAACTTTAAACATTTATGTTTTTTTTTTAATAAAAAGAAATCAGGAGAGTAAAATGTAATTTAAACCACTGGTTTGGTGCTGATACTTTATTGTTTGTAGCGAGAAGAAAAAAAAAAAAAAGCAGATGAAAACCTGGCTGGGGAGACGGTGACAACATGGATTATCTGTTCTTCAGAAAAGATCACGACATTGTGAGGCGTTTATCATACAACGCAGTTCGTGTTTATAATCATTAATATTAACTAATATTAATTCTCTCTCTAGACTTTGTTTTAGGGCTTGTTTCTCTTCGGCGCAATATAGCCTAGGCTTACTGCACGTACGAATCCGATTGTGAAGAATGATTAAGCGCTTGCATTTTTTATTGCATCCTTTTCGCAAGTAATTTATCTATTTATTTCTTTAAAGTGGTGAGAGCATTATTTACTGGCAAACATGTTCCTCGATCTCGTACATCAACAAATAAAGTAGCCTACCTAAATTAATTGACCTTTTATGTAAAAATTAAGGATAACTTAACTTAATTAAATATTATTAAATAAAGCATCCGTATAAACGTAGTCCTACGTGTTTATTTTTGAACTTTCGTTAATAAAACAAAACTGTTTATAAATATTGTAGTTAAATATTAAATAACTTTAACTGCTTGAAACTGTATAATAATAATTAAACGTGACATTTTTTAAAGAACTTAACGAATAGCTTAAATGGCACTTTACTAATCAGTGTAATAATAATATAAATATTAATAATTATAAGTAAAAAGTAAATATTAACCTAGTAACAATAATATAAGTCAGATGTTTAAAAAAACAATGTAGGTTCTCTCCACCTTTTGTATTCATATTTAAAATTATTTGCCAGAAAAACTAACATGTTGACTTTGTCCGGTTTAAGTGAAGAATGGGGTTATAATGTTTCCAGCAATACACTGTCAGATGTTGTGCTTGTAGCGAAAATGCACAGACAGGCTACTTTTTCACAACCATGCGAGAGAGGGCTTCTTGTTTCTGTTCCGCCGCCCGCATTACTCGCAACACAAGTTTCTCTACGCTGTGGAGCGGCGCGTTCTTTACTAGTTACCAAATTTGTTGCTCCATTTCTCGCCAATGTCTTCCATTTATCACTTTCTCTTTTTTAACTGGCCATTTTTTTTGCAAATGCCTCTGCCATGCCTGGCTGAGCTGGGCTTTTGCGTTTAGAAGACAGGAGTTGATTAAGCCTACATGGCTTTTTTCCCTCGCCGTCAATCGCCACTGGCTTGTATGATTCGGGACCCATGGATCTGCGTATCGATGGATTTGCTCTTCAGTGTTTGGACTCTCAGCAGTGAACATTAAAACACACTTTAACACTTAAAAACCCCCTACAAAAAGCTTAATCTAAATTAATTTGTTCACCTTTCTCGGTCGGCATAAATGCAAAATGTTCCCAGATGTAAGATTTCGTTTTCTAACAAGATTCATGGTTGATCTTGAACTTGCTGAATCGCGCCTAATGTTATATTCTAACAGATATGTAATACTTGGCAACATAACAGTTTTTTGTGTTTTAAAGTGCGTGACGTCACGAACTACAGCCAGTGGCAATGGACAACGGCGGTGGCAACTGACCACGGCGGTGACGCGGTTGTCTCGGTGACCGTCACAGCCCTAGTCTTATGTGTATATATATATATATATATATGTATATATATATATATATATATGAATATATATATATATATATATATATATATATATATATATATATATATATATATATATATCGCAATATATATCGCAGGGAAAAAAATATCGCAATGTCAATTTTTTCCAATATCGTGCAGCCCTAGTGTAAACTCAACAAGAGCAGTTTTCATGTGTTACACACTCATAATGTGCTGAAACAACTACAGCAATTCAGATTTGACCAATGACATAATGCGGCATCCAGAATTGTATTGCAAGAATTCTAAATTAATTTTGGTTCTCTTTGTATTTGTTATCATCTCAGGTTTACCAATGAAAATTCCTTAAAGAACAGCTGCTAGCAACATGCAAGATCCTATCTGCCTCAAACATGGAGAAGAGAATGGAATTGTTAGGTGGTAACCTGAGATGCCAAAGACTTCCTTTCTGCCAATCAAAGCATGAGCCACTGTAAGATATACACCTTGGTGTCAAATCTAATGCCTTGTTCAGACTGCGTGATTTTAGCTCCGAATTTGGCTCGCCGACAGGTTTTGAGAAATCGCCAACAAATGCCTGAAATTACAGGCAAATCGCTGCTCGTGCACGTGAGTGACAATCACACAGTATGAACTATCAAAGACGCGATCTGAGAGAATTGCCGATGAGTCGCCGATGCCTGCGAGATATTTGGCATGCTAAATATCTGGAGCTGTCGGCGATTCAAATCATGCCATTTGAAATGAGTTTTGACTGAAAATAACATCCGCGATCGCCTACAGCCAATGAGAGAGCAGCTTTCACTTGTGTGTGCAGGTCAGCAGGAGGCTGGGGGAGAAGTTAAAAGCGCTCTTTTCTTGGTTTATTTGGACCCACGAAATGGAGGAAAAACTAGTGGAGGTTTGACAGAACTCAGGAGCAACCGTGTCTGTTTGACGTTTCATACAGAAAGAAATTAGTTTATTATCAACGTTGAGGAGAAATGGCTAATTCCCTTTAAACCCAGGTGAGCAAATATGTACATTTTCTACCCCATTAAAGGCTTCTTTCTCATTATGTAGTTAATACCACAAAAGATATACTACGTGTTTTTGGCTGTGAGACGTAGTTTGGACGAAGTTGTTGGCGATTATTCCTATAGTAAAGTCGTGCAATGTGAATGTCCTTGTCGCCGATCCATCTTGCAGTGTAAAGAAAGCAGCGACGAATGCTAGCCCAGATAGTCATGCAATGTGAAAACATCTGTGACATGACTACTTTGAAAATCATGCAGTCTGAACTCGGCATAAGGGTCTTCTACAGTGAGTTCTCCAAACAGTCTTTGATCAGTCACCAGAATTATACACACCTGATCTTATCATTGGATTTAGCATTGTATGTGTCACAATCACCAGCGACCTCTAACCACCAGAGGTCGCTGGAAAACATTCACTCTCATAGAACTACAAATCTGCTTGTAAATGGACTACATATTCAGTCATGCCACACGCACACCTGCTTCCTCATTTAGACTGATTACACTCTCACCACCTGAGGATTGTCAAAGACAGATTACACACAGTATTTGAGCAGCACACACACTCATTCACATTGCCGAGTCTTGTTATCTGTCACTAGTAACACTACAACGTCTTTTCCCCAGTCTTGTTATCTTGTGCACCGACCGTTAGCCTTGTAAGTCGCTTTGTCTTTGCCTGCCGCCTGCCTTTCTGACCTCTAGCCTGTATTCAACTGTGATTCTGGACTGTCTCCAAATATCTGTTTGCACCTGTGTTGACCATCGCTTGCCTGACTTTGAATAAACCTGCATGTGGATCCAAAACTTCTGTTGTCAGTGTCACTCCCCATAGTTACAGTATGAGGCTATGTGTTTTAACAAAACATCTTTCTTCAACCAAAGATGTGAAAAATTGCACGTTAAATAAAACAGAGGCACAATTTAACAGAGTTAAATAAAACAGAGGCTACGAGATAAAGATCTTGTAGTTACAATAAAAACAATACTTCATCTTTTCCAAATATCTTCCCTAAACTGCATCAATCTTTATTCATATTGTAACACACTTGAAGAAGACAACAAGCATGTGATGAACTTGGGTTCTTTTATTCAGTCAGCGTAGTTAACGGATACAGATTTTGCTAGAGCCAGATTTTGCTAATAAGAGTCACCTCTTGATGACACAACCTCTACATCCTGTTCTGCTCCTTGCTCATCTTTTCTTTCTGAATCCTCAGTGTTTACCATCGTTGTATCCTCTGGATAAGGTTCTGAAGGTTTTGATTTTTGGCAGTGATGGTGCCTTCCACTTTCCCTGTCATTTGGCATTCCAACCAGACTTCTTCAATCTTCCTCTCTATCTGAACTGTCAATGTATGTACAACTTTGTGGAATTGATTTTTTTTACCTGACTTTCTTTTTCTCTATGTTTCCTTTTCCAGGACCTCCGGGTAGATGTTCCATTGCAGCAGGTAAGTAATCACATGGTAGTAACAAGTTCCTGTGCAGTATTCTTGTTTTTCCTTTGCTCTGTTTGGGTTGAACTTCATATACTGGACTATCCTGGTGCTTCCTCTCAGTAACCACATAAATTTGCTCTTCCCAGAATGGCCTAAGCTTTCCAGGTCCACCTCTCTCCTTGAAGTTACGGACAAGAATTTTGTTACCAGGAACCAATTCAGCCCCTTTTACTTTCTTGTCATATAAAGCTTTTCCTTGTTCTTTTTCATTGAGTGACACTCTTGAAGCCAGCTTGTAAGCTTCGTTCATTCTCTTCCTCCAGCCCTCAGCATAGTCATGTTGGGTAAAACTCTTTTTTTTGCATCTTTCACACCTTTTTTTTAATTCTGCGCATGCTCGAGTGACATCACCGACGTCGCCTACTGCGTGTGCTTGAAGATTGGACTCGCTATTTTACTCGCAATTTAAATCTTAATCATACAATTCTTCCTCATTCGCTAAGTATTTGTCTCTCCTACTTAGGGTGAACAAACCCTTGATACATTTATACAAACAAAACTGCTTTAAAACGGTCTGTCCCTCGAGCATCCGCCTGTTGTTTGTAGCTTAGCCTGCTAGCGCCGCTGGTCAGCTAAAGCTACCGACCTCTTTTACCATACACTTTTGACTTACCGGCCTTGCTCTTTACCCCGTAAAATGTCGCTTGCGTCTCTGTCCTTGTGTGCAGGAGAAGCATCGATGGAGGCGCTGGAGCTGGAGCTGGAAGAAGTGGAGTCCCAGATCCGGGCACTTCTGGTGAGGCGGACGCAGCTACGAGAACAATGGGCGTCGCTTGTTGTACCTATCGCTAAGGTCGCCTCATCATCTAAGGTACGTGGAAATTACAACCACATCATTCCCTCTACCTCAACCCCGCGTCCTTCTCTGTTCAGGCCCAGCGCACCCGGGGCGCGGCTCGGCCAGGCGTCGTTCACGCCGACACCCAGCTACCACGGCGCCTGGGTGCAGCCGCGTAAGGTGCTTGCCAGATCCCGGGGCAGAACGTCTCCTCCTCCCGTGTTCGAGATCTCCACGGAGAACTGCTTCTCCCCTCTCCGCGAGTTGGGTTTCGACGTGGCCATCATCGGTGACTCGATCGTTCGTCACGTCCATGCCGCCTCCTCAAAAGGTAATAAAGTACGTACTTTCTGCTTTCCTGGTGCCCGTGTGAGAAATATTTCTACACAGATTCCAACCATCCTGGGCGCTGCCGAGTGCCCTGGTGCCGTTGTCCTCCACGTGGGGACAAACGACACCGGGCTCCGGCAGTCGGAGATCCTGAAGAAGGACTTCAGGAGCCTGATGGAGACGGTTCGACGTACCTCGCCCGCCTTGTAGATCATCGTTTCTGGGCCGCTTCCTACCTACCGCCGAGGAAATTAAAGGTTCAGTAGACGTTTTGCTCTGAATGAATGGCTATTAACATGGTGTAAAGAACAGAAATTGCTCTTTGCTAATAACTGGAATCTTTTCTGAGAGCGTCCTAGGCTCTTCCGTGCTGACGGCCTGCACTGTAAAAACTCACAAAATTCATATTATAGCCACCTAGACTCTTGTTCGTCCCACTTAAACATCAGTAATGCATATCTGGTGAATCCTATAGAGACTGTGTCTGTTCCTCGTATTATTAGATTAAGAAATAAACGTACTGTGTGCTCCAGAAAAAAATCTATTAAGAATCAAACCAGAAAAACCAGTAGAAAGTAAAAATACAAATTTCGTAAAGCTTGGTCTCCTAAACATCAGGTCACTTGCACCTAAAGCACTTATCATAAATGAAATAATACCAGAAAACAATCTTAAAGTACTCTGTCTCACTGAAACCTGGCTGAAACAAAATGACTATATTAGTGTAACGAGGCAGAGGGAAAACACCGACACAGTTGGATGAGTTTACAGACTAGTCCCCGGAGGGTGCTTTATTTACAAGTGCAGGGTGTGAATATGGTGCTCTTCTTAGAGGTGAGGTGCTCTGGTGCTCCGGGAAGTCGGTGAAGGACAGTGAGTAGTCGGGTGTGGGATCGTCACGAGCTGGAGTCTGCTGTGGAGGAGAGACAGAGAGACAAGCATTAGCGCCGGGAGTCATAAGTAGAATGAAGCTCGTCTTCCTCTGGCGTGGGCTTGGTTTATATGCCTATATGCATGTGTGTGCTCGCTACACCCCCCCCCCCCCCCCCCCCCCCCTTAGCGTCGTCCTGGTCCTGGGTTTCCTGCGGAGGAAAGGTAAAGTATTGAGAGGGGGGGTAGAATGTTTTGACAGACCTGCCCATCCTGACCAGAGCCTTGAGAGACCGTCAGCGTTTCCGTGGGAGGCCCCGGCTCGATGTTGTACTGTGAAGTTAAAATCCTGGAGCGACAGGAACCATCTGGTGACTCGAGCGTTGTTGTTTTTCGCTGTTGCCATCCACTGTTGGGGAGCGTGGTCGGTCACCAGGGTAAACTTCCTGCCAAGTAGATAACACCTGAGCTCCAGGATTGCCCACTTGATCGCCAGGGCCTCCTTCTCCACCATTGCGTACCGGGTCTCTGCAGGGGTAAGCTTCCGACTCACGTACATGATGGGGTGTTCTTCATCGCCGTGGACCTGGGAGAGGACCGCGCCCAGGCCCGAGTCGGAAGCATCTGTATGTAGAATGAAGGGGCAGCCGAAGTCAGGTGCGTGCAGTACCGGTGAGGATGTGAGGGCCTTCTTCAGGGCTCGGAACGCGTTGTCTGCTTCCCTGTTCCACTGTATCCTTTCCGGCTGACCCTTTCTGGTCAGGTCTGTCAGAGGGCTGGCTATTGATGAGAAATTAGGTATGAAACATCTATAGTAGCCCGCTAACCCCAGAAATGCACGTACCTGGGTCTTTGTGGTGGGTTGTAAAGTTTCTTGTAGTGCTCTGATCTTGTTTTGTTGTGGCTGTATGAGACCTCTTCCGATGTGGAAACCGAGGTACTTGGCTTCGGCTAGACCCAGGTGGCATTTCTTGGGATTAGCTGTGAGCCCAGCCCTTCGAAGATCTAGGAGCACCCTCCGCAACCGGGATAGATGTTCTTCCCATGACTCGGAGTGGACGATCAGGTCGTCGAGGTATGCTGCTGCATACGGCTGGTGGGGCCTCAGCAGGATGTCCATCATTCGTTGGAATGTGGCTGGGGCCCAGTGGAGCCCGAAGGGAAGAACCCGGTAATGCCAGTGGCCACCGGGAGTGGAGAAGGCGGTTTTCTCCTTGGCGCTTTCACTTAGTGGTAACTGCCAGTAGCCTTTGGTGAGGTCGATCGTGGATATGAATCGGGTTCCACCCAGCCTATCCAGCAGCTCGTCCACCCGAGGCATGGGGTACCCGTCGAACTTTAAAATTTCGTTGGGCTTCCTGAAGTCGTTGCAGAAGCGGAGGGTGCCGTCGGGTTTGGGGACCATCACTATGGGGCTGGACCACGGGCTACGAGATGGTTCGATGATTCCTAATTTCCTCATCTTTTGGATCTCCTCGTTGATAGCCAGCCGGCGAGCTTCTGGTACTCGATAAGGCCTCTGCCGGACAATGGTGCCAGGTGGGGTGATGATGTCGTGCTGGATGATGGTGGTTCGGCCCGGTTTCTCTGAGAACACATCCTTGAACTGACTGACCAAGGCTTGCTGCTCCGCCTTCTGATTCGGTGAGAGTTGCTCACCTATATGGACAACGGGAGAAGTTTCTTCTGAGAAGGCAACGAGATGACCTGGAGCTGCAACCCATTTCTTCATCAGGTTGATGTGGTACAGTTGTTCTTCTCTTCTTCATCCCGGCTGACGGACTCGATAGTTTACCGGCCCTACCCTTTCTACCACTGTATATGGTCCCTTCCAGGATGCCAGGAACTTTGAAGTTGTGGTAGGTATAAGGATCATCACCTTGTCCCCTGGGTGGAACTCTCTGGGTTGGGCGGGCCGGTTATATAATCTCTGTTGGGCGTGCTGGTCTTCAGTCAGATGTTGCTTGACGATGGGCATGACTTTTTCAATGCGTCCTCTCATGTCCCGTATGTGCTCAATTACTGTCCGTTGTGGGGCTGGCTCCTGCTCCCAGGCTTGACGAGCCACATCCAATAGCCCACGTGGTTGACGGCCAAACAGCAGTTCGAAGGGGGTGAAACCTGTGGATGCCTGGGGAACCTCTCTGATTCCGAATAACACATACGGGATCATGAGGTCCCAGTCGCGCCCATCCTCTGCCACCACCCAGCGGAGCATCTGCTTCAGCGTCTTGTTGAACCTCTCTACGAGGCCGTCAGTCTGTGGATGGTAAACAGATGTTTTTATTTGCTTTACCTTGAGGAGGCGGCAGAGGTCTGCCATCAACCGGGACATAAATGGGGTGCCCTGGTCGGTCAGTATCTCCGCTGGTATTCCTACTCAAACAGCTCCTTCGCGATCGCCGATGACGTGGCTTTCCTCAGGGGAATCGCTTCAGGGTATCTGGTGGCGTAGTCGAGGATGACAAGGATGTGTTCATGTCCCCGGGCCGACTTCGGCAAAGGCCCTATCAAGTCCATGCCAATGCGGTTGAAGGGCACATCGATGATGGGTAAGGGTATCAGACGGCTGGGGGGTGGTCGTTGGGGAGACGTTCTCTGGCAGATGTCGCATGCCTGACAATATCTCTTCACCTCTCCGTCCAGCCCGGGCCAGTGAAACCGATCGCGGATTCTTTTAATTGTGTTGGCCGCTCCTAGATGTCCAGCCATCGGGTGAGTATGTGCCAGCTCGAGAACAGTCTCCCTCTTGGTCCTCGGAACGACCAACAGTGTCTTCTTTTCCCCCCGCCTCTCTGCGACACAGTACAGCAGACCATTTTGTACAATGAAATGCGGGAGGGGGTGAGGGCTGGGAAACCGTTCATTACCGTCAACGATTCTCACTTGTGGCCAGCAGTGTTTCAGCGTCTCGTCTTCTCGTTGCGCTCTTCCGAAATCTGTTGGAACAGATCAAAATATAGGTTAGCAGATGATGACTCACCCCCTCTGTCGCTGTCGGTGGCCATCAACGCTGGTTGACGATCCCGCTGAGCCCGTCCCTTGTTCTTTTTCTTTGGACAAGTCAATAGAGCCTGATGGTGGGTGAGGAGATCATCGAACCCCGGCCAGTCTCTGCCCAGAAGGAGGGGTACAGGAAGATCCGGAACCACTCCTACCTCGATGCGCCAGCTGCCCGATTTAGCCGCGATGGTCACTCTCTGTGTGGGTACGTGACGGGTATCCCCGTGCACACACGTAATCGGGATTCTGCTTTTTCCTTCATGATGAACTTTTAAAGTTTTTGAGTGTACTAGGGTTATGGCGCTTACTGTATCCAACGTGGCTGTTTGTGTTT